AGAATGCTCCTTTTGTCGAGCTAGGCGTATAAGAATCATTCAGAGATGAGACTTATCTGGCGGCTTTTCTTGCATGTTGGCTTTGCAAGTTTGTTCTTCCTATCAAGAAAGCTTATTGTATTCGTGCTAGTATCTTCAAAGTTGCAAGCTTGATGGCTCATGGAGAAATATTTTCTTTGGCGGTTTCGGTCCTTGCAAGCATCTATCGCGGCCTCAAGGATATATCCACTTCTTCAAACTTGGGTGCTTGCAACACATTACTTACCATTCATTATGTATATGGATGGATAGGTGAGTATTTTGAGACCTACTACCGTATGACCCGTCCTCAACGAGGTGTGCGAATGTGGCAGATTTCTGGAGAAAAGATGGCAAAACATTTTGACCTTGTTGACGCTCGCAAGTTATTTCAACAAGTGAATGTGCATAACCTCCACAATCTGGCCATGCTACAAGGAAAAAAGCTACATATTGATGATAGTGGAAAATTATCCACTTCCTGGAGCGATTTCCTTATAGGCCTTCGCTCAAGTTTTGTCACTTTGAGGCTGGATGATGAACTAATTGTGGAGACTTATAGCCCTCACCGATTCAGTCGACAATTTGGATATTGTCAAGATGTTCCTGGTGCACTCATAGAGCACTATTATGATGGTTCACTGCTAGCTTTTATGCAACTATGGGATTCATGTGTTCATCTTGGAAGCATAACTCATAGACGTATAACATATGTAAAAATCACGGCCAAAATCTTTCCAGATTAGTACAGATATATTTTCAAAGTTAGCTCAATTTCTGCCTCCCTCAACTCTTCAGCTTTGAGCAACTTTGGGAGAAAATCAATAACTCGGCGTAGGAGCCTCGAAATGATGCGATTCTTGTTCCATTGGAAGCATAACTCAGAGACGTACAACATATGAAAAAAATCACGACCAAAATCTTTCCAGATTAGTACAGATATATTTTCAAAGTTAACTCAAATTCTGCTTCGCTCAACTCTTTAGCTTTGAGTAACTTTGGGAGAAAATCAATAACTCGGCATAGGAGCCTTGAATGATGCGATTCTTGTTCCGTTGGAAGCATAACTCATAGAAGTACAACATATGTAAAAATCACGGCCAAAAGATCTCCAGATTAATACAGATATATTTTCAAAGTTAGCTTGAATTCTGAAACTACGAGATCATTGTTTCATTGTGAGGAGCACGTCTTTGGTATGAAATCCAAAATTCGATGTAAGTGTGGTGAAACTATGAGTTTCTTATTTCATTGTAACGAGCGCATCAAGAACAACACTATTTATAGAAGTTACAACAAAATTCGTTCCAAATTAATGAGAATAAATTTTTCAGGTTGACTATACCCCCAGAATGTCAATTCCTCAACTTTGTTCACTCTTGACAACAATAAAAAAAAACTTGTCTCTTGAGCTTGGAGTGTTCACGTCATGATCTTTGCGGGTACATCATTTCAACATAAGTAGGGCTTTGATCCGAAGGGTATCCCGATTTGATGTTGTAGGTAAAGATGCCCCTAATTTTGAGTAACTTACTGAAGCATCATTGAATTACACAAAATTATCTCTATCGCAAGCAAAAAAAACTCAAGATGAATCGCAAGTCGCTTGATCCAATACCAATGAAATTCATCAGTCTATTGCATATAAAAAATTCAAATCAAAACTCTAGAAGATCCATAACTCGATGTAGGAGTTTCAGTATTACGAGTTTCTTTTTTTGTTGCGGAGAGGGTTTCAAGAACTTCAATGTGTGTAACAATGATGATCAAAATCTTTATGAATTTTCACAAATGGGCCTTTGAAGTGCTCAGATCAACTCCAAAATATGTTGATTTTTTTTTAACTTTGATTGGCCGTGGTAGAAAATTCATAACTTAGCGAAGAAACGTCTGAATCACGAGCTGATTTTTACATTGCAAAGTAGATGCCAAGAACTGCAATTTATGTAAAAATCATGGTCAAAACCTTCGTGAATTTTTACAAACTCGCCTTTGAAGTCAAGATGCCTTGCTTAACTCTTCTCTTTTGCTAATCAGTGACGCATTTGAACTCACGTGTTAGCTAAATAATTTTAAAGAGCTAGTGTGAGGATCACGCAATGCCACCAAACCCCCTTCTTTTTTTTACTCATTTGACTGAGCTTAGAGTGATTACTCCAAGCGCCTACGTACCTCCATGAAGAGGATAAAGTCATATCGTAGTTCAAGATGATGAATTTTATTTATTTTATTTCAGTTTTTTTTTTGTCGTACATAGTTTATACTCTTGCGGGCCAGAAGTAACATGCAGTTTATGCTCATAGCTTAAGGAGCGTAGACGACCTTCATGTGTAGTATTGCTTAAGAAACTTGCCGTTAATTGGACCAACTTTTACACCGTCTTGGTCTACAATTTTGTAAGCGCCACTTGAATGTGCGTCTTTCACAACATACACCCCATCCCATTTTGATGTAAACTTGTCACCGATGCGTTTGTTGAGGATTATGGGTCTCCTGACTGCTAAGACCAAGTCTCCCACTTGAAATGATTGAGGTCGCACTTTCTTGTTGAATGCTCTCGCAAGTCGAGCTTGATAACACTCCAAACTTTGTTGTGCTTCCAATCTCTTCTCATCTAATGCTTCCAACTCTGCTAGACGAAGTTGAGCATTACTTCCAGTTATAAGTCCCTCTTGGATTGCTATTCACAATGATGGAATTTGCTTCTCCAATGGAATGACTGCTTCTACGCCATACACTAATGAAAACAGAGTCGTAGCCATTCTAAATGTTGTACGATATGCCCACAAAGCTTCACCAATTTTCTCATGCCAGTCCCTTTTATTCTTTGCAACTACTTTCTTCAATAGGTTACCAAGTGTCTTGTTAAAAGCTTCAGCAAGACCATTGGCAGGTGCATTGTACATTGAAGGCTTATGTTGCTTAAAACTGCACTTCTCGCACAAACTACTCATGAGTTTATTGTTGAAGGGTGTTCCATTATCAGTAACTATACATCTTGGTATGCCATATCTAAAAATTATGTTTGATTTGATGAAATCAACAACATTTTCCTTCTTTACCTATTTTAATGGCATAACTTCATCCCATCTAGAGAAATAGTCAGTGGCAGCCAAGATATACATTTGTCCTTTTGACGACTTTGGAAGAGGTCCAACAACATCAAGTCCCTATGCATCGAAAGGCCATGAGGCTACAGTTGGATGCAGAGCCTCTGGTATTGATGGATGTAGTTAGCATGGAATTGACATGCTTGATACTTCTTTACATGCTCTAAGTAGTCCATTACCATTGTTGGCCAATAGTAGCCCATCATTTTGATGCGAAAATGAAGTTTAGGCCATGATTAGTGTGCTCCACATGTGCCAGAATATGCTTCCTCCATTGTTTGTTGAGCTTTTTCTTTGTTAAGACACCACAAGAATAGTTCCTCATAAGAACGATGAAATAATATTCCCTCGTGAAAGATGAATCGCGGTGCCCTTCTCTTAATGTCTAGTCTTACTCGTGCATCCTCAAGCAGCCTTCCATGTTCAAGATACTAAATTAATGGTTTTCTCCAATCTTCCTTTTCAACCACCTGAACGGATATATGGTGGCTTTCATTGATTTGAAGATCAAGACAACCAAGAATAATCCATCGATGACATACGTGCACCTTTGTTGTCTCATTTTCTCCGAGTGCCATTGTTGTGGCCAAGTTAGCCAAAGCATCCGCCATGCAATTGTTCGCAACAAATTTCCTTATGCGCTGAAAATTAACTGCATGCAAAATAAATAAAAGAAAATGTTATTTTTATTGATGAATCGTTGTGAGTACAATTCTGTTGTTCTCTTGATTCTTCTCTCCTAAGATTCTCCAAGATTTGAGGGCCTTCAGTAGCGTACTTCTTGAATGGTTGAATGATGTAGACTTCCTTGAGATGTTCTTGATCTCCGGGAACGTAGGAAAGCGCTTCGTCGTTTCAAGTCGATCTCCGGGAAGAACTTCGTTGATCACTCCTTCGAAGAGCTATGTAGTTAATGTTGTAGCTTTCTCCAATTGCAGAATGCTTGTTGAAGAGTTGCATTGATGTCGTTAGAATGTCATATCCATCCCCTATTTATAGTTGTGGGGGTGGACAAGGTTGCATATGATTGGCCAAAGGATGTCATTTTGACACTTGGCATGTTGTGATTGGTTCTTGCACTTGATTGGGACTACCACCTCATTTGGACACATGCAAAGGTGGAGTCAGGATTAATATTTTGGGGGTTCTAAATTTTCTTTAGAACCGTCAACCTAGCTCCGCCTCTGGATACATGGCGTCTGAACGAACATGAACCCCCACCAAGCTCTGCCTCTAGACACATGGTGTCACCTTATTGGTCTTGGATGCCTAGTCCCTGTGACATGTGGCATGAGTTTGGGCTTCAAGGTGAAATGGACCTTGGATTTGGATTTAATAAGATGAACTTATTTATTTGTAAAGCCCAAATTAATCATTCAGCCCAAACGAACATGAATTTAATCAAATTTCATATAAATTTAACCCAATACAATTTATGTGTCTACAATAACATCTACCAAGGGTAATTCTCGATTTTTGAAATTATTCTCTATTTCATATTTTAACTTATAATCATTATCTCATCTGTCAAGCAGGGTGGAACCATGTAGAGCCGATGATATGATTCATTTAACCTCTAAACATTGTTGGTATAGGTAAAATTAGTTTTGTGTATATACAGCCCTTTGGACTTTTTCTTGTGTTTAGTTTTTCATACTTTGAATTCCTTTATAAATTTTTGACTCTGTCACTGTCCCAAGTATCTCAAGTTTACTGTCATAGTTAGTGGCATACACATAATTTTTTAAGATGGATGATGATTTTATTTTAAAGATTATTTTTACTATTATCATTATTTGTTTGTTAGTTGTTACTTTTCTCAAATAGTAATTATAATACATTTTTTCTATATTATATGTTATTAATACCTTTCTCAAATAATAATTATAATATGTTTTTCTACCTTATTGATTATTTATTGAAATTTATTTGAAAATCATGAAAACTTTTACTTTTACTTATTTTCTTAGTAATAAAATTATAAAATTGAATATACTTGAGATGTACGCCCGTAAATTCATGAGATTTGCGCCTCATATCTCGAGATTTACACCATCTTACATAAAACGTCTCACCTCTCGCCCCTACTTTTAAAATAGAGATACATGAAAATTGAAATCTTAATTTGAGTGTGTAAGCAAAAATATGGTGTAATTTTAGATGCTTGTGATGTGTTAGGACATCTCCAACCCTACACTCTATTTTACTCTCCAAATATAGAGTTCTCTATTTTTTCAGACAACCAATGCCAACCCTATTCTCTATTTTACTCTCTAAAAAATAATCTTTTTCTCTCTCCTTAATATTATATTATTATTTCTATTTCATTTTTATTTTCTTATTTCATAATATAAATCCTTTATTTTTTCCCAATAATTACTTTATATAATTTTCATGTGATGTAAAATTTTATTTTTTCAAAATTTTTATTTAATATAAAATTATATTCTATTCTAAATTTTAAATAACATAAATTGCAAAAAAGTATTATATCATATACAAATTAATGGACAAATTCAAATAAACGTGAAAAACAATTACATAAATACTCATTTTTTGAAATTATTATGTTGCTCCCATTACCCATAAATGCTCTATTAATGCATTAAGGAGTTCAAAATGAGCATTTTTGTCCTTAATTTTTTTATGTCTGGCTAAAAAATTGTTCAAATCGGAGATTTTCATCTACCACCATTTATGTCGTTGGAGTTGGAGCCTCTACGACATCTTGAATTGGTGCATTGGGATCACGTTCATCCTCAATTATCATGTTGTGCAGTATAATACATGTAGTCATTATATCATGTAGCACTTCCTTTCTCCAAAAATGTGACGGTTTTGCAATAATTGCAAAACGTGATTGCAAAACTCCGAATACATGTTCAACATCTTTTTGGCATGATTCTTATTTTATCGTGAATTAATTATTATGTTATGTATTGTATTTTATCTTGTATTTAATTATTATGTTATGTATTGTATTGCTATCTTGTATTTAAATCATCATATTATGTATTGTATTTTCAAACTAAAATTTTCATCTTATCATTTTAATTTTGTGTATTCTTTATAATGAAAATTAATAATAAAATCAAATTATATTATTGACGAAAATTAGAAAAAATTAAAATACTATTAATTCGGGATGAAAGTAGTATATATAAAAGGGAAAAGGGACGGATTTACCCCCAAACTTTAATAAATGGTACGTATATGCCCTCCATTATACTTTGCGTCCACATAAGCCCCTGTCGTCCAATTATAGGTATACATATATCCCTCTCACTAACGGACCCCTAATTTCTTACACGTGTCTTAATCCTATTGAACTACCCGTTTGATCTTTTTTTTAACCCACAACCCAACTATCCGCCCCATAACCAATACCCACCCAATTTCCTCTAAAAGGAATCCTAATTAAAACACCCAAATTAACACACCAAAATCTGTCCCTTTTCCCTAGTCGGAATCTTCTTTATCAAGCATTGGATATCACATTACCAAAGATTGAGTCTTTAATTCAAGAAATCAAACCCCATTTCATTTTCTATTGCTTATTGGGTTCCATCCGTTGCTCGAAAATACGGAGTTAAGTCTGTGCATTACTGTTCTATTACCCCATCATCTGTTGGTAATCTTATGCGTGGCGAAAATCCATCTTCAGAAGCTGAAATGATGGAACCTCCACCTAGTTTTCCTGTTGATTCATCTATCAAACTCCACAAACATGAAGCTCGTTTAATCGTAGCTCTACATTCGATGGGGAAGAATTCTAGTAACTCTGGTTCTAGCTCTGTATCGTTCACTCAACGTTTGCTTTTGGCTTTTCAAGACAGGGATGCCATTGCATTCAAAACTACTCGAGAAATAAAAGGACCTTATTGTGAAATTGTTGAGCATAAGTTCAAGAAACCAGTTGTGTTAGCTGGGCCAGTATTGCCCGAACCAATAGAGACTTCAAATACAGAGGAAAATTGGTCAAAATGGCTCGAAAAATTCCAAGAAAAGACGGTTATTTTGTGTGCATTTGGTAGAGAATGTAATCTCAAGAAAGATCAATATCAAGAACTGGTTTTGGGACTTGAACTTACTGGTTATCCGTTTTTCGCTGCTTTAAAACCGCCTATTGAAGCTGAGACAATCGAAGAGGCATTACCGGAGGTTTCAAAGAGAGAACACAAGGGAAAGGCATTGTTCATTCAGGATGGGCAGAGCAACAATTGATGTTATCTCATCCTTCTGTTGGATGTTTTGTCACTCATTGTGGCGGGAACACGTTATCGGAGGCCATGATTAATGAGTGTCAATTGGTTTTAGTACCAAATTTTGGTGATCAATTAAGATTGTTTGGTGGAGACTTGAAAGTTGGAGTGGAAAAGGGACGGATTTTGGTGTGTTAATTTGGGTGTTTAATTAGGATTCCTTTTAGAGGAAATTGGGTGGGTATTGGTTATGAGGCGGATAGTTGGGTTATGGGTTAAAAAAAGGGTCAAACGGGTAGTTCAATAGGATTAAGACACGTGTAAGAAATTAGGGGTCCGTTAGTGAGAGGGGTATATGTGTACCTATAATTGGACGGCATGGGCTTATGTGGACGCAAAGTATAACGAAGGGCATATACGTACCATTTATTAAAGTTCGAGGGTAAATCCATCCCTTTTCCCTATATTAAATAATATGTTTTTAAAAATATTATATTACATTTAAAAATAATTGTGAATATTAGATATTTAATTAATGACATTATATGTAAAATAATATGTTAATTAGAAGTAATAGAAATAATAATAAAATAATCAAAAAGTGAAATAGAGAGTGTGAATAGTAATTCTCTAAATTTGAAGAACTACTATTCAGCTCTCTAAATATGAAGAATAGAGAGTGATATAGAGGTGGGTTGGAGTGGCTATTCTCTATTTTACTCTCCAAATATAGAAAATTGAGAGTAAAATAGAGATGGATTGGAGATGGTCTTAGATCAATAATGCATGATGGCATGAGGCAAAGCCCCACAGCTGAAATTATTAGTTTTTCTTTAACATAAAAAACTTGTTTGCTTATGCACATATTTCTAGATTTCAAGACCAAGTGAAAATAAAAAATAAAAAATCTACCAGTCTAAATTCCCCTGCTTCTTCTACATTTCCCCTTACCTTCAATGAAAGTCTATGCAGACACATATTTTTCTGCATAGTAGGACCACCTACTTTTTTCTACTGCACAGCTTTGATTATTCAAACTACCCTTTCTACTATAAATATGTGACTGCTAACAGGTCAAGACCCGTGCAACATTATTTTCCCTTCAACCAAATCCATAGAGAAATAATTCTTTTTCATTTCAAGGTGAGAAATTAATAAAATTTTCAATCATTTATGGCTTATCTTCCATTTGGGTTTGCTAAACTTTTGTTTCTTCACATATGTGCCTAAGCAAAATCTATGTTAGTGTTGTTTCTTTATGCTCATAATCTATTTTTGTTTTCTCATGCTATTAATGGAAAGATAAGGATTATGTTTTCCCTTAAAGGGGGTTAGGGGTGGGGGTGGGGGAGCAAGACAAGTTGATTTTCCCTTCTCTAGTTACAAATTTGCTTGAATTAGATTAATTATGTTCCTATTTTTCTTTTTTCATATGTGGTTTATTGTGTTTGTGTTCGGGTGATCGCACCTTGTTGTTGTTATTATGGTTCCTTGCATATATGTTTTGCACTGCTTTGCTATTAGCTGTCATGTTTTTCCTTTAATTACTGTTTTGATTTGCTTGAGCTGAGAGTTTTTCAAAAGCAGACTATAGTGGTAAATCTTGCGTACACTCTTTCCTCCCAGTCCCCACTTTGTGAGATTTCATTGAGTTTGTTATTATTGTTGTATGTTCATATTTTTCTTTTGCTTTTAATGCAATTGCTGGAAAAAGTTATTACGTTTTCCTCTTTTCTTTGTGGGGTTTGGGGGAAAAGATTGGGTTGTATTTCACTCACCTTTGGAAATTCTTAGTGGCTTTGAATGAATTGGAATATCCTAATTTGTAACAAAACCAATGGTTTCTGTTTACAGCTCTAATTGTCACGTAAATGGGACTCTCTCTTTCTATACTGTTGTCAGCATGGAATGAGATTCTAAGGCATAGTTATCTTATTTTTCCGGACACCATGGGAAGAGCTATCATGAGATCGGTTAGCATTGAAAGGAAAAATAGAGAATTGTCTTTGATGACACTCAGTTTCAAAGAAAAAAATGATAAGAATGTTAGAAAGTCTGATTGTTCAGAAGAAAGTCTAAAACATGAGAAACAAAAGCTTAAAACTTCTGTTCCGATAACTAGTTTGGTTGTTGATCAAGCACCAAGAATCTCGATTCCAGAGCCTTTTGTATTCTTTTCTCCAAGACCTGTTACTGAACTTGATGCTGCTGCGACTAAGCTCCAGACGGTGTACAAGAGTTATCGGACAAGAAGGAACCTTGCAGATTGTGCTGTAGTTGTTGAAGAGCTCTGGTTTGTTTGCTTGTTTCTTTTGCCACCTTTCTCTTATGTAAAATCATTGATGTTTGTAGTCTTGGTTTCTAATTTTTGTTTTACTTCTTATGGTTCTAGGTGGAAAGCCTTGGATTCTGCAGCTTTAAAGCAGAGCTCTATATCATTTTTTGATGTCAATAAACATGAAGCTGCCGTGTCAAGGTGGTCACGTGCTAGAACAAGGGCTGCTAAGGTATGTTAACAAGCGCCAACTATACGTCCATGTTGTCCGAATATAGTTATTGACTCAAGAATTGAGCAAAATCATGTTTGTGGTCTACAGGTAGGCAAAGGTTTGTTGAAGGATGAAAAGGCTCAAAAACTAGCTCTGCAACATTGGCTGGAAGCGGTAAGACCTCGTTGCTATCTGATCTTTCATGTATATGAAGTCTTAAACATATACTAGGGCACTTACTTTGCTTGACTGCAGATTGATCCACGTCATCGTTATGGACACAACTTACACTTCTACTATGATGTATGGTTCAACAGCAAAAGTACCCAACCTTTCTTCTATTGGTGAGATCACCGGTCAGAAGCACAAGTAGTTTCGGTTTTTCATTCGTGTGTCAAGTTTAAACTTACATGATAAGCTTGCTTTTTTATTGAAGGTTGGATGTGGGTGATGGGAAAGAACTAAATCTCGAGAATTGCAAGAGAGCTGATTTGCAACGTCAATGCATCAAGTATTTAGGACCTGTAAGTCCAATATAATCCATCTGTTATCTACTTCCTCCTTTGTAATATATGTTAGATGGAAAATAATATTTCCAAAATGTTTCATGCATTATTATTACAGAACGAAAGGGAAGCCTACGAAGTAGTTGTGGAGGATGGCAAGTTGGTATATAAGCAAAGCGGGATGCTCCTGAATACAACAGAAGGATCGAAGTGGATTTTCGTTCTTAGTACTTCAAGAGTTCTTTATGTTGGAAAGAAAAAGAAGGGTGTTTTCCAACACTCTAGTTTCCTATCTGGTGGTGCTACTACAGCAGCTGGTAGATTGGTTGTTCAGGATGGTATTCTTGAGGTATACTTCACAAATCATGCCAATACGTACGTACATCATTTTCTTTTGTTTCATTTCATTGACTTTAGTCACATTTTACTCTGCAGGCAATTTGGCCATACAGCGGTCACTATCTTCCTACAGAAGATAATTTCAAGGAATTTATCAATTTCCTTGAGGAACACCATGTAGATTTGGCTAACGTTAAGGTAACTCATGTCCAATGTAGTGTCAATTCCGCGCAAGTAGTACTGATGCTAACGGGCAAATATTCATTAACTTCTTACCTGCAGAAATGTGCAATAGACGATGATAGACTTTTATCGGTGTCTAACAAAGACATGGAGAAAACCTTATCACAAAATTGTGATGCAGATAAAGCTAAGGACAATGGTCCGGTCAGTGATGTGTTGAAAATAACTGTTCATGAAGAAAACTTTACGCATACCAGCAAAGACAAGATAGAAGAACCAGTTTTTGACTTGACCAAACGTTTGTCTTGCAAGTGGACAAGTGGCGTTGGTCCCCGTATTGGCTGTGTTAGAGACTATCCAATGGATCTTCAATCTCAGGCCCTTGAAGCAGTCAATCTGTCTCCAAGAGTTAACTTGTCTCAGCCCAAGAACTGTTATCCAATCCCTTCACCACGTCCGAGCCCAAAAATCCGTGTATCGCCTAGGCTTGCATACATGGGACTTCCAAGCCCAAGAGTTTCTATTACTACCTTGTGAATGATTTATTCACTTATTCTATTGACCATGCCAAGTTCTTCAGTTAGCGTAGTTAATAGGCATTCTTTGAAAGCTTTTGGATCTGTATTCAAAGTTTAGTCACCCTTCGAAATGTAATTGAGAAATAACCACGTTTTGATGGAAATAAAATCTGGACAAAAGTACCTCAGCTAAGTTATGGAAAAATTACAGCATAGTATGCTGGAGTTCGAAGCTTGTACACACTCTTAGAGTTCGTAGACTCCCTTTACGTGAAATTCCAAGATTCACATCTCACATGTGAAACTTCCAATATAATATGGTGGAGTTTCAAACTTTTACAAGTGAAACACAAGTACAATTAGCTGAGTTTAATCTTTAATTAGTCAAACTAAGATAATTATAAAAGTTCATTTGTTTGAGTCCACACGGTTTTAAACTGTGAGCTAACATAAAACAACTGGCTGGGAATAAAACTGATTTCCATTTTCTACCTAAGAATCGTATAATTTAAGATTTTTATAAACCTCTTTTGTAGGTATTTTAAAATGACATAAAACATAAATATGCCTTTTAACTTGGTCTCAGTTAACATCTATCCCCTTCAACTTTGGATGTACATTAATAGATACTTGAATTTGTACAAAATTGAACAAGTAGATACACACGTCTTATATGGCATAATACACATAGGACGCCACATATGACACATATATTTACTTGTTCAATTTTATATAAGTTTAAATATCTACTTATAAACAACCAAAGTTTGAGGACATCAAGTTAAAAAGACATATTTATCTATTATGCCTTTTAAAATCACCAGCAAGTATAATGGGCTAACAGATGCACCCTCTGAAGTCTTTGGTATATAAAAAATGGCTACTTTGCCCATTTCACTTTTTCAATGCACAAAATAAGATTTCTTTACGAGAATCATACTAGAATTGGTGGGCTGCGCCAGGCCAAGGTTGTAGTATAATTGTGTTTGGTACGGAGGAAAATATTTTTCATAAAAAAATGTTTTCCTAAAAAATATGTTTTTTGAAAGACAAGTTGGTTTTTAACTTAAATTTCATGTTTGGTTGGTAAGTGAAAAATATTTTCTAGTATTTAGTTGGTGAATGAAAAACATTCTCCACAAAATATTTTTTATTTCTTATTAGAGAGTAGAAAATATATAGTTTCTGATCCGGAAGCCAACCCCGATAACTAATCCAAGATCCAACCTAGGTACCGAAATCGGGGACTGACCCCGACTCTCGACTCAGGACCCAACATTCGAACTGGAGCTCGACCCCTATCCCGACGCTTAAATTGGGTCACGACACTGACGCCCAATCTAGGATCTAACCCAAAATTCGACCTAGGACCTGATCCTGATTCCCAACTTGTGACTTGACCCTGACCCTAACATCCGAAGCTAGACACGACTCCGATGATCAATCTGGGATTCAATTCCAACATCCGAATCAAAAGCTGACCCCGACAATTGACCGGAACATGACATTCATACAGGACCGACTCCGACCCCAATGACTGACTTGAGACCTGATCTCGACACTCAACCTAGGACCCAACACATGAACCCTGGCTCGACTTCCAAACTAGGACCCAATCCTAATACCCGAAGCGGGACCCGACTTCTAAATTAGGACAATACTCAAATTGAGACTCAACTTTCAAACCAAGATCCGACCCCGACATCTGACCCAAGACTCGACGCCCAAATCAAAACCCAATTTCCAAACCAAGATTCGACCCCGACATCCGACTCAAAACCTAACTTTTGAATCAGGACCCGACCTCGACACCCACCTCGACTGTAGATCCGACTTTCAAATTGAGACTCAATATTGAATCCCCATTCGTGACCCGAATTTCAAATCGGGACCCAACCCCGATACCTGACCTAGGAGTCGACCTCGACTCTCAATCTGAAATTTGATACCGACACCTGACTCATGACTTGACTCCTACACCTGATATGAGATCTGACTTCGAATCCTGACTCGAGACCCGACATCCAAATTGGAATCCGACCCTAATACGAGATCGAAGAGTTAGGTCTCAAATTAAGGTCGGAAATCGGGTTCTGAATCAAGAATCAAGAGTTGAATCCCTAATTAGTATCATTCTTCAGTACCCGAGACTTGAGTTAAGATGAAAAATTGAGTCCCTGATTAGTATCAAGGGTGCGTACCCAAGACTTGAGTTAGGGTGGAAAATTAAGGTATGAGGATGAAAAAGATTTTTGAGAATTGTTTTTGGATAAGTCATTTTCCTTAAATTTGAGGAAAATAAATTCATTTGAAAAATATTTTTCAAAAGATTTTAACCAACTTTTTTCTTTGTACCAAACAGACTTGACACTTGCTACATAGAATCTTGTTTGCTTATGCACATATTTCTAGATTTCAACACCAAGTTAAAAAAAAAAAAAAAAAAAAACTATCCACGAGTCTCAATTCCCTGCTTCTAGTCTCCTTATCTTCAATGAAAGCCTACGCAAGACTTATATTTTTCTGCTGAGTAGGACCACCTACTTTTCTACTACACAAATCCTTAGAGATCAAATACAAGGGAAACAGCTTCTTTTCTTTTCAGGTGAGAAATTATGGACTTGGAATCATTTAATGGCTTTTCTTCCATTTGGGTTTGCTAAACTTTTGTTTCTTGCAATATGTTGAGTTGTTTCTTTACTCTTGTTGGTGGTGTTGATTTCTTGAGCTATTTATTGTGTATGTTTTGCTAACCTAGCATATCTCATCAATTTGAAAACCAGAGGTGTTAATTTGCTCTCTCTGTCTGTCGATTCATTGATAATATTTTTATCTTTGAGTCTTTTGTGATATTATTAATGTCCCTTTTCTGTTTTGGAGGAGAATTTTTTTTTTTTTCACTAGTCCTTCTCTAGTTTCAAAATTTGCATGATCATTTGTAGTTGTCTTATCCTTGTATTTCAATTATCAAGTGATTTTAATGCGGTTTTGGCTACTTTTGTACTGTTCCTTATTTCGATTCTTTGTATTATTTCTTCTTTTTTATATCGGGAGTTGTTTCTTCTTTTTTCAGAAACAACCTCTCTGCATGAGTAGTGGTAAGGTTTGCGTACATTCTACCTTCCCCAGACCCCATTCCTGAGATTTCACTTGATACGTTGTTGTTGTATTAATGGTAAAGATAAAAGATTAGGTATTCCCTTGGTGAAGCAAGACAAGTTGATTTTCCCACTGTCCCTTCTCTAGTTAAAATTTGCTTTAATTAGACCAATTATGTTCCTATTTTTCTTTTGCTTTTAATGCAATTGCTGGAAAAAGTTACTAATGTTTTCCTCTAATCTTTTGTGGGGTTGGGGGGAAAAGATTATTAGTGGCTTTGAATGAATTGGAACATCCTAATTTGTAACAAAATCAATGGTTTGTGAGCTTTAATTGTTGCTTGTCCAGTGAGCAGTGAATGGGAATTCTCTCTTTCTAGAAAATTGCCTTTGAGGACACTCAGTTTCAAAGATAAATGTGCTAAGATTGTTAGAAAGTCTGATATTTCAGAAGAAAGTCTAAAACATAAGAAACAAAAGCTTATTCCGATAACTAGTTTGGTTATTGACAAGGAAACAAATGGATCAAGTACCAAGAATGTCAATTACTGAACTTGACGCTGCTGCGACTAAGATCCAGACAGTGTACAAGAGTTATAGGACAAGAAGGAACCTTGCAGATTGTGCTCTACTTGTTGAGCAGCACTGGTTTGTTTTCTGCCTTTTTCTTATGTAAAATCAGTTATGTTTCTAGTCTTGGTTTCCATTTTTTTTTTCCTTCTAGGAGGAATGCCTTGGATTCAGCAGCTTTAAAGCAGAGCTCTATATCATTTTTTGATGTCAATAAACATGAAGCTTCCGAGTCAAGGTGGTCACGTGCAAGAACACGGGCTGCTAAGGTAGGTTAACGAGAGCCAACTATACGTACGTCCATGTTGTCTGAAAATTGTTATTGACTCAAGAATTGAGCGAAATCATGTTTGTGGTCTACAGGTAGACAAAGGTTTGAAGGATGAAAATGCTCAAAAGCTAGCTCTGCAGAATTGGCTGGAAGCGGTAAGACCTCGTTGCTATCTGATCTTTCATGTATATGAAGTCTTAAACATATACTAGGGCACTTACTTTGCTCTTTGCTTGACTGCAGATTGATCCACGTCATCGTTATGGACACAACTTACACTTCTACTATGATGTATGGTTTAACAGCAAAACTAGCCAACCTTTCTTCTATTGGTAAGATCACCGGTCAGAAGAACAAGTAGTTTTGGTTTAAACTTACATGATAAACCTGCTTCTTTATTGAAGGTTGGATGTGGGTGATGGGAAAGAGCTAAATCTTGAGAGTTACAAGAGAGCTGATTTGCAACGTCGATGCTTCAAGTATTTATTTGGACCTGTAAGTTCAATATAATCCATCTGTTATCTGCTTACTCCTTTGTAATTATTGCGCGTATTTTAGATGGAAGATAAAATTTCCAAAAAATTCTCATCCATTATTATTGCAGAAAGAAAGGGAAGCCAATGAAGTAGTTGTGGATGATGGTAACCTGGTATATAAGCAAAGCGGTATGCTTCTGAAAACAATAGAAGGATCAAAATGGATTGTACTTTTATTTCTACAAGGATCCAAGTATAACACCAAGGCGACGCTTGAGAGTCTCGATAGCAAGCTACTATAGTTAAGTCCCCTTCAAAAAATTCAGTTAATATCATATATTAAATTGATAAGAACAGATACTTCACTTAGTCTTAGCCAAAAGCCGAGAAAGGTATGCTTTACTTCATATTGACTTGCTCAAACTATACCCGATGCTCTCTGCCTGTCTTCATTTAAATGCTTGATGTGGGAATAAACTAGCCAAGTTCAAATAAAGTTACTAGCTTCTATATTAGATGACTTGGCGTTTGTTAAGGTGATTATAAATGGTAATGAAGTGTTCCATATTATTTGGTCCCTATACAAAATATAGGTATTTCATGTTACTTATTTAATTTAGAACATTAAGAGAGTTTTATTATATTTTTCTCTTTCTACCTCTAGTATCAAATAGAGAAAATTTTAAAAATGATTATCGTTTGGGCACTAGAGATTTATAGCTATAGTTTGAGTGTTTACAATTCATAGCCACTGTTTGAGATGCTAAGCAAAAACAAATAAATTTGCCTCTCTAGTCTCTCCTCAATCTTGCTCGCGTCAGTTCATGTCTCTCTCTTTCTTTACCTCTCTGTGTATTTTGTACTTTCACCCTTCTTTCTTTGTATTTCGATATTTTTTGAGGTTTTAATCGATTGTATTTGTTGTATTTATATGTGCATTTTGGTTGTATCCTCTCCCCCCCCCCCCTTCCCTCACATCCCCTTTCTTTATTTTGTATTTCCACCTCTTTCTTTATTTGTATATTTTATAAGTTGTCAGGCGATTGTGTTTGTTGTATTCATACATGCATTTAGGTTGTATTCTGTATTTTCACCTCTCTCTATATAAGTATATTTTTCTTGAGGTGTCAAGCGATTGTATTTGTTATATTCATATGTGCATTTAGGTTAGTATTCTGTATTTTCACCTCTTTCTCTGTATTTTTATATTATTTAAGGTGTTAAGACGATTGTATTGTTGTTTTAATACGTGTAATTAGGTTGTATTCTCTCTCTCTCTCTCCCTCCCTCCCTCCCTCCTTTTCTATTCTATATTTCCACCTCTTTCTATATATATTTAAACTTTTTATGTGTCATGCGACTTTATTTGTTGTATTTATCCGTGCATTTACATTTTGTTCTGTATTTCCACTCTCTTAGGCGATTGTATTTGTTGTATTCATGATATGTGTATTTAGGTTGTAGTCTCCCCCC